CCTCATGCATGAGAAGTGGGCGTCTTAAACCTCCGGGCCACCACGACGATTTGATTGCCATATATACCGGGCACAAATCCATTCTCCGAGCTACTAGTGAGATCTTTTTTTTTTAAAAAACCCAGTTATATTCTGCCCGAACGGGGAATCAAACCCCAGACCCTTTGCCCCGGCAGTCGCACTTGCGATCACTCGGCCAATGAGGCAGTCACAATACGTAATAGTTCATACAAAATAACCTCTATATTCGAATGTATCTGGTACATAGCGACTATCCAGGCCTTGTGAAATAGGGCCTAAGTGTAACTAAGGAATGTGTAAGGTGCGATTCAATTAAACTTTATGATCAAAAGGAGGATCACCTTGGAGTGTGGAGAATTAATTCAAGCGTCAAGGAATGGTCGTTTCGTCCCCTGAATTAGGGGAGAAGTAATTTCCGAGACGTAAATAAGATGTAGAGGACATCAAGAACACCTAACGAAGTGAGGGAACTTTGTAGCCAGCTGACATTTACAGGAGTTACAAAGTGTCAAAGATTTTCCTTTTTTTGTGTAATTTGTAGTTAGGGGTATTGGTAATTAAATGTAAATATTGAATTGTTGAACTACTGATCAATTGGGTGTTCATCGGTATTGATTATTGGGTTTTATAGAGTGGTTAAATATGCAAATTGTGTGAATATGTATGTTAGTCAAAACGATAGATAGTGTAGTGGCCTATGGTCCAATACTTAGTGAATTGTCACAGTCTATTGATTGCATTGACCTATACGGAAAATATATTACTTAGAATATATAATATTATCGACGGACTGACGGCAGATGGGTCAGGTAAGTCCTCTCCCGGTGGACCGATGACATCGCCAGAGTTGCTGGGAGCCAGTGGATGCATGTGGCGAGTTGTCGTTCGACGTGGACGACTAAAGGGGAGGCCTTTGTCCAGCAGTGGACATCATCCAGCTTTTGATGATAATGATGATGATATTACTTAGAAGTAGGTACCTACTTACATTCACTTTAGACCAGTTACTTTGCTATTAATAGAAGGTAAACCTATTGTCATACGTCGAACAACCTTCAAGTAAGAATTACGATCGATAAAAAACTATACACATTAACAACAAAAACGTAGCATTTTAATCTAAACACAAACAAGTCTTTATTAGAAATTAATTACTTAGAAACTTGTTTCGAAACAAAAATAAAAACAATTAATATAAATAAAAGAAAGTTTGGAATACTTGAAGAGTTGAAAATATTACAAAAATATGCTAAATACGTTCGTGAACAAACAAAAAGTTAAGACTTAAAATTGGAATTGTTGTAAATTGGCTTTTGGATACACACTGCTTCGGGAATCCTCTCAAAGAACATTACTAAGATAACCATACCATACATAGTCCAAAACGAATGAATTGACGGCAAGGTAGAAAACATTTTAGTACACCCACTGCTACTTTTTTCCGCGAAGATCATAATTTTTTTTTAAGGGGGGAAAGTCATCGAATGACTTTTCCCGCCTCACCCAGGCGGGAGAGTCAGACTCTTACTGACTAAAAACCACCCCGTTCTTTCTCCTGCACGTCGAGCCGGAGCCCCGGTAAACTGTTAGGTTCTCTGCGACTCCGAATCGGCATCGGCCCTGTTGGGCCCCATCTGTGGTGGTCTGATGGCTCTTTGAGGCGCGCGCGGAACGTGTCGCGCCCTACGCTCGGGGCGAGGATCATAATAGCCTACTTATGGATTGCATATTGACGAAACAGTTAGCAGCGCGCTTTGGTAAACCTGAACCTTTTATACTGCAACATTCAATCAACTTGTCAATCAAAGATGAAGATTCTGGCGTGATGATTGTGGCAACCCACTAGAGGAGCCCATGTCGGAAAGTAAAACGTCACACAACATCAACAATTGAACATGTTAAATATGCCGATATATATGTATATATATTCCTGGTTTTTTTAGTATAATATATACCCTTAATCTACGAGCATGCATTAAAAGACTGATGACTATTGAGGAAGCGACAGACATACATATAAGAATCGTAGCAATTTTATTGGCGTTCTATAGTCTCTGCCTACCCCCATGGGGAACAGGGGTGAGGTTATGTGTGTATGTAGAACATATCTGGACATAGATTTGAGGTATCAGACCGCAAATACTAATTTCGATTTAATTCGGAGTTCGCAGTGCTGAAATCAAAGCGATCAAAGTCGGTACGTGTTGGTGACGAGTTGACTAGTGCTTATTTTCTACGTAGTATTTTGATTTGGTGACAAATTAACAAATAAGAATATACCGTAAAAGCTTGACCTTAAAGTTGGTATTAAAAAACATAGCTTAGGTATTATTTATGTCTTAGGTGTTTGTGGCAGTCTGAAATTCTAGATATCAATTTATTTAATACAACTTCTTCACGAAGGATCTGCTAGTTTGTGGAAATTAAGAAAGTTATAGTAATAAAACGTATGTAATGTAAATATTATACAATTTATTTAAACATGTATAAACTTTTATACTAACAAGTCAAGGTAAACTTCTAAAAGTCCAATAACTATGCTTGATAATCATGTATAAGAACATTATACGGTAAGTAGATAAAAATGCATCTTATGGTAAATAGAAATTAGATTCATATTCATTCACAGACCTTTTACAAACTTACACCCCTAATTAATGTTTGATTAATATAATCATCATTATTTTTTGTTAAAGTTTAAAAACCGTGTTCGTACTTATGTTCTTACAAACATACAAACAAATTTAATATTATTATTTAACGACTAGCCTACATGATGTAAGGTACATTAATGGTCTTAGGCCCATAACACACGGCGTATTTTATACGCGCAGATGACGCTCGTTTACGTAATTCATACGAAATTCGAATGCAACCTTGTAACCTAACCGATGAAAGGTGTTTCTACTGTGCTTATACACGCCTCCAGAGCGTATATGAGCTTTTTGGTAAGGGGTAAAATCATCGAATGTCTTCTCCCGCCTACGTTAGGCGGGAGGGAGTGTCACACTCTTACTGACTAAAAACCACCCCGTTCCTACTCCTGCCCTTCGAGCCGGAGCCCCGGCAACCTGTTAAGTCCTCCGCGGCTCCGTATCCGCATCAGCCCTATTGGGCCCCATCTGTGGTGGTCTGATAGCTCTTTGAGGCGCGCGCGAAACGCGACGCGCCGAGCGTATACGAGCTGTAGTCGCTCGTAACCCACAATAAAGTAATTACAACTGAGGCGCGTTTGAATCAGTGGCTAACTTTCTGCCCCTTTATTTGTACGCAAGTTTGTATCGCTGCAAACTTTCGTATATGTGCTTTATGTGCGCGCTTGTGTCATCAATGCAAACGCAACAATCAGTGTTCATGGCGCCGAAAACGCGCGATGTCGCGCATCGTGTCATCATGTCGTGTATAAAATACGCCGTCTGGTATGGCTCTTAAAGTACAATCAGCGAATCATACAGAATAGATATTCTTCTTAATTTTTTTCAGAAATAGGTTGTTGTTTAAGTATTTCAATTTTACGCCAGTTACTTTACGATACATTGTAAATTGTAATAGAGGTCATGTCATTATCACTATTTAGAAATCAAAACACTCAATAATGTTTTACTCGCCTCGTGACTTGATTTCTGTTAGTCACATTTTGTCAAACTTAATATTTTTTATGCATACGACATTTTGTGTCAGGCACGTTTCGCAAAATGTTATAACAGAGGTTACCTAATTTGACCTGTAACTTGTAATAACGTGTTAATATTATACATACATAAAGAATTATCAATTTAAAAACAACAAAGGTCAATTATTGTAGCTGATTGTACTTAGTTTTGTAGCTGATACATACATTTATAAGTTTTACTCTATAACACTAAACTAGGCAATAAGTATACATTTATACATTCTTATATTTGCTATTGGTAGAAGAGGTTCTTAGGAAAGAACGCTTTGGAAAATCCGTCGGGAAAATAGCAACCATTTCTTTATTCTTAACGTTAATTACCTATATAGTTAAATTCATTTTGTTTTCTTTATTTTGTATTTTTACAAAAATCTACAAAATTTTTATTGACAGTCTCGATATAAAATCCCTTGTAATTATAAAGAAAATTCATACACGAAGTTACAGTTAGCTATTTACAACTTTATAAACCATTTCCCAAAACTCTCACTTCGCCAAAACGTTGATAAACGATTTTTCGTCAGAAGAATAAAATTTATACATCATTTATATTAATTTTTGACTCATGATTCACGTAACAGTTTTAATTAAAATTTTAAACATTAAACATCATTAACATTTGGGTTTAACGTTAGGATGATAAAACATTTAATATCTTTATAATCGTTTGGTCTCTGTCACTCTTTGACACGTGAAAATGATAGCAATATTATTAACATATATGAAAATTATCTTAGACAAAGACAGCCAAGTCTTTTGGTAGGAAGATAGGAAAATAAACAGTAACCATTGGTTGATATTTTAGGTTAAGACTTTATCTCATTTTATAAAAATTCGATTTCGAGATTGATATACGATAGCACAAGTTTAAACCTTAGTGGATTTTGGTTGCTATTAAATAAATGGATAATCCTGTACTTATTGTAAATACGATAAATAAATAAATAAAATAAATAGCTGCTGATAAAAACTGTTAAAAGGGTTAATCCTCCGCTAGCGTCGGACATCATTGTCCGACACAGTATCCAATATGTTAATAATTAGGTATTATAAAATACTACTATTGAGTCTGTAGTGAATCGATCTTTTTTTACCTGGGTATCAAATTAATTTGTTGACTGTACTTATGTTAACAAATCCTTGGACTGACAAGTGCTAATAAAGAAACCAAAATGCATAGACATAAATTCGACAGCAAAGCTCGTATCAATTTATCAGAGTAATAATTTTACAAAACTATACCTACACATTACAACAAGACTGCTTCTCCTATGTCTTAAGGCTTAAACAATAGAGTACTTAAAAACTAATTCAAATGCTTACGAATATCGTGTACCAATAAATTTTTGAGATAATTATCATCATTTGAAAAACATTCAACAATATCAAAGTGGTCCATCCCATCTTTGATTTCTAAATACATATTTTGCATGAGACAGGTATTGTGTAGGATCTCATAGAATTCTCTTGATTGTTTCTTGAAAGTAGGACTGTCGTGTTGTCCAGCGAGGATATATAAGCGTATCCTTCTACCTTGAAGGTGTGTGTAGTCGTCAAATTGTGGAGATAGGGGAATGGCCCATTCGTTTGGCAGCTGGACAGCATCGTTTACCGACGTATGGACGAGCTCCCGAAGGTCGTAAATCCCTGACACAAGGAATGCTCCTTGGAGACGAGTAGCGCCCGGAGTGTTTTCGAAGAAGTCTGCATTTGAAAGCAACTTGGCAACTAGATGGGCACCGGCTGAATGTCCCGCGAAGTATATGCCCCTGGAAACGAGATAGGTCGATTTAATGTAAAATGTTTTAGTATATTACAGATCTAAATTTTAATTTCCATCAAAAATTTTCAAGGTACAAAAAAGTTACTTTTGGCAGTTATATCAACAACATTTCATTCCATCGTCGTCCTAAGGAAACAGATTTAGAAAGCCTATCCAAACGAACAAAGTTAAATAAATCAACAATTTTTCAAATGAAACATTTAACTTGTTCAATCTTATCACTGTTCAGCTTCATTACATCACAGTACCGATTATTTATCAAGGTGAAAGGTTATCTTACTTTGATCCCATTTTTTCGGCGTATTCGAAGACAAATTTGGCGGCTTTAGCTGTTTGACTGACAATTTCTGCGAGGGTTGCTGTGGGGCACAGATCGTAGCCGATGACAATCGTCTTCACTTTGCACTTGTGGAGTGGACTGGCTGGGTAGCGGGAGATCTCTCTTGAAAGCTCCTGCCAGTAGCCGCCGTGAATGTAGACGAGGATCGGTGTATCTGAAGAAAGAAGAATGATTTCATGAGATACTTTATACAGATACTTTCTAGATGTACCTACGTGAAATATTTAGATGTCGGCTTTTGTAATGGTTTTAATACTAAAGTCAAAAAGATCTCTTCAACATGTTATGTTTGTTTAGTCCTTAAACATGTTGATTTTAATAAAATCGATCACAATGTTTACTTTATTTTTTACAAGTTCATAAAACATCTGATTTAAATCCGTATCCAACAAAATAATAATTAATATCAATTAACATAGCACCGGATTGCTACACAGAATAATTAGTAATCAGTAATCAGATAATCGTAACAGATGTGTCAATGGTTGCCATCAAATTCTAATTGCGTTCACTAGTTGCACGTCAAATTGTAACTAATTAAAATGACGCTGTCAACTTGTGCGTCACTAAAAATTAATTAAAATATTGTGCGTGTTCATTGTTGTGAATTGCGAGTTTTAGTATGATTTATCCAGTGTTTTACATTGACTGATGAGTAATTAAGGTTGAGGCATAACAAACGTGCGAATTGTCAGGTCAAAGGAATATGACAATGCCGCACAACTTGCATATGTATGAACGAGAGATCTGATAAAAAAGACTGGGCAACCGGCCGCCCCGGAACGTTTCGCGGGTGCCATTCCCGCACAGAGAAAAACGTTCCTTGTGTGATCGACAAATAGTTTTTCGGGTCTGGATGTGATGTGAAGTATACATGTGAAGTTGTTTTGAGAAAATCCTAGTGTTGGTCAACCTTTTTTAAGAAAAGAAAATTAAAAAAAAAGAAAGAACGACTTTGACGGTATGCGTATTTATAATGGCCTAACTATACCTGACATAATAGTGAGGTGTTTCAGGTCCGATTCCTGGGTGAGATTATGTATTGACGATTTTGATTACGTAATAACAGCATGGAATCTAGAATTATGCCATCATTGATCATAGGGCACTTACAACATAATATCTTGCTTCATCTAGTAACCAAACCCTTGCCCACACTTGCACTGACGACCAGTAGACTAAATACAACAAAGTAGTCAAATAAAAATAAGTAAGTATAGTAGACTGACATTCCGTATTGTTATTGTTTTATTTTTATGTCCAGCTCGTAATGCGAGCCACAGCTGTAGCATCAATAGCAAGACATTTTATAACGTGTCACAAATACTTAGAGAGGCTTTACACCGGCTTGTGATATATTTGATCCTGACCTGTTATTGGGATCAAAAAATTCAGTATTCAAGGATCAAATTTATAATGTAGCTGATACGTATGTGTAATGTAAAAGTAAGCTAACTTTATTAACGATTTCTATTTTGTGTTGTATTATGTGTTGTCCTTGAAATATATTTTCGGAATTTTAAATACCAAGGACTTATAAATCTATTAGATTTTCAGTTTATTTGTTTGTCTACTTGTAAACCGATTTTCAAAAGATGTCGAGATGGGTACATATTTTTGCATACAAAACAAATGTGAAGTCAGCCTAACCTAAAAATTTTAGGGTAGGTAACTACACTGAATTTTATTGTACGATTTTATATTTTGTTCGTTCCGATCAAGGGTTGGAATTGTTACATAAAAATATTTACACACATAAAAGTAAATGAGGACTGAAAGGACAGCTTGCATGTCTCGTTCGCACTATGCTAGTATTTCAGTCGAGTAGCGAGTATTTAGTAGTTCTCTCTGGCTTCTGTATCAAAGAGAGATTGAGCTACTCGACTAAATTACCAGCGAATGACTAAATTAAATGCGAACAAGGCATAAATATTTAGTCAAACACTGGCCCTTTTGTGCCGTTTTCATTGTTTTTTCTTAACTATTTTTTCGTGTTTTTTCTTTCTCTCTTTCTTCTATAGGTACAACTAGTTAAGATGTTAAAGTCAAAGCGTTTTTTGCAACTAAGTGTATAGATGCTTGCACAGAATTATTATAGTAGTAAAATGAGATTCGGCACGAATGGGCCGGCTCGACCGGAGTGATACCACGGTCTCACAGAAAACCGACGTGAAGCAACGCTTGCGTTGCGTTTCGTCGTGTGAGTGAAGTTACCGGAGGCCCAATTACCCTCCCCTTCCCCAATCTCCCCAATCCATGAACCCCCAACGATCCTCAAACTCCTAATCCCCAAAAAGCCGGTAACGCACTTGTAACGCCTCTGGTGTTCCAGGTGTCCATGGGCGACGCCGATTGCTTACCATCAGGTGATCCGTCTGCTCGTTTACCGGCTTATGCCATAAAAAAAGAACAATATCCCTTAAATGTGACAGAAGCAAACCCATTGGCGAAAATTAGTGACAAAATATGAAATGTTTTTCGACAATAATTAAGACCAGAAGGTCTGTAGGTATCTAAACCTTTGGTTGACCTACACAAAAAGAAATATGTAATTAAAAAATATTTAAATAAATACTCGTTAGGGCCACACGTTTCGGATCGAATTTCATTTATTTTAATATTTCATAAATAAAAATTATAAGTAAAAACATCCTGTGTTTTTGCTTAATTAGTAAATAATTATATTTCGTTTACAAAATTAGTAGTAGTAGTAGATACTCCAGGAAAAACATTGAAAACAAAGAGCATAACATAACATCACGCCATTTATCCCCGAAGGGGTAGGCAAAGGTGCACATTACGCCACTGTATACCTAATGTTATGAGTAAGTACTACACTTTTGACTATTTATGTTACGAGTCCCATGTAATGGTCACAATTCCAGACTCCGTGCTGTTAAAAACCCAGTAATATTTTGCCCGACACGGGCATCGAACCAGAAACCTCTCTCTATTAAATAAAACCGCATCAAAATCCGTCGGGTAGTTTTAAAGATTTAAGCATACATAGGGACAGACAGACGGCGGATAGCGACTTTGTTTTATACTATGTAGTGATGAAGTACATAAACTTACACAAGTACCTATTATAAGTTTAAACATACAAACAACGAAGTAATTAGAACCTTGAACAGGATAAAACCATTGAGTTATCGTAAATGTACATAAATGATTGAATAGCAAATATAATTAGGGGACTGATCCATTAATTAGAGGAGATTTTTAGACAAGTGTCAATCTTCCGGAGAGATTCCATTAACATGTACTCAACTCTTCCGTTGCTGGCGATTAAGTGATTGATAAACACATAACATGACCGAAAGTACCTACAAATTATTACATACATAACATCACGCCTTTTATCCCCGAAGGTGTAGGTAGAGGTGCACATTAAGCTACTGTACAATGTAACACCCACTTTTCACTATTTATGTTACGAGTCCCATGTAATAGGGGGTGAGCCTATTGCCATATACCGGGCACAATTCCAAACTCCGTGCTACTACTGAGATTTTTTTTAAAACCTAGTAATACTTTGCCCGACCCGGGAATCGAACCCGAGACACCTTGCCCGGAGTCGTACTTGAGACCAATCGGCCAACGAGGCAGTCAACGAGTACAATTTATTAATAGTTATCTAATTGATTTATTGGGTTAACGGGAAATGACCTCGTGGTCGCTATGAACCTACCCGGTGGTTGGATGCTGTAAAAAACCTAACCGGCCTGACAGTTCCACAAGCCATAAAGACCGCAGAGGACAGGGGCGTTTGGAGGAGGGTTGTGCATCAAGTGACGCGTGCACCAGACTAGACACGACCTTCAGTAATGAAGAAAACGAATAGGAAGAAGAAGAATTGGTTTATCGGATCCGCAGAGTTTACCTCTGCGCCAGTAAATTCCTTTAGAAATAGGTATGGGGAAGTGACTGCGTAAAAGTTTTTTTTATATCTGATAGTGTGCAGGGAACTACAGAATGCAGGTCGTATCCAACCAGCCAATCTGGAGTGAGAGAGACCTATGTTGACCAGTAGACGCTTCGTGGCTGAGTCAAGAACGATGTTTTTTTTTAAGGGGGGAAATCATCGAATGCCTGCTCCCGCCTCACCCAGACGGGAGTGTCAGACTCTTACTAAAAACTACCCCGTTCCTTCTCCTGCACGTCGAGCCGGAGCCCCGGTTACCCGTTAGGTTCTCCGCGACTCCGAATCGGCATCGGCCCTATGGTGGTGGTCTGATGGCTTTTTGAGGCGCGCATGGAACGCGACGCGCCGTACGCTCGGGTCTCGAAAACGATTTTAATGTGATATTTTAACCTAAACAACATATGGACACTGTGTTAAATTGCAGCTACTAAGTAAATACGTCTTCTGTAACATTGTATTGGTAGAAAAAATATCAATTATCATTAACTCTTGTTACATAAACCAGGCTAATTGCCTAAAGCACTCGTAATTAGTACCGGTTTCATTTTGAAAATGGTAATGGAGGGCAGGGTGCCGCAATAAATTTTAAACAGAACCTTTGGAGAGGTATCGTTAAACGAGGTTCTTTTTTTGTTTTGTTATGTGTAAAATTTTTAATGAAGTACCTATACATTTTTCAGTGCTAGAAGTCACTTCCGAGTTACTAGAGCAAACTTCTTTTAGTGACACAGGCCTCTCAGAGGCCGTCGTTCGTCGATATTTTCTCTGTGTTTTTTTAAAGTATCAACAATTCTTGACAACTCAAACAATGATTCGCCCACTGGAACAAGTCAATGCTTTTCGATTGTAAGCTATTTACAATTGGTTAAAGCAGCGCAGAATATTTCGGAATGAGGCAAACAGATACAATAAATTCGGAATTGATAGCAGCGCAGTAAAGCTGATAAGCCGTCTACCTTGTTGCACTTTTGCTTTCTTGCGAAAGCGTCAAAAGTGGCGTGATCATTTTAATATAATTTTCCTTAAAGATGGCAATGCAATTATATTTTTGCGACCAGCGCGTTTCGCAGAGCATTGATATGTTTGGCACGAGCTTACGGCGTTGAGCCGATTCTCGGAAGAATTTTATTATTTATATTTTATTTGTGCCGATCGCATTACGTATAGCCAAATGCAATAATACGTCATTTGATTTAAATTATGAATCACTAAATTCAAAATTTATGGCT